GGGCCCCCCCACACTTGCCAGGGACCCCGAGCAGCCCCGGGAAGGACGGGCAGTGCCGGTACCACATCAAGTCCTGCACGTGGCCGGGCAGGTGGGCAAAGCCAGAGATGTGCACCGAGGTGTTGGCCACGCGTGGGGCTGGGGTGGGCAGAGGCTGAGCTGGGGGGAGCCTGGGGGGGCAGCTGCGCTGGGGGGGCCATGCTGGGCCAAAGATGGTCACCATGGCAGAGCAGGTGGCACAACCCCAGGAGCCCCACGGGCAGCAGAGCCCACAGCTCCAGCCGGCAGCACCGCAGGGACGTGCTCTGCAAGAGAGGGGGAGTGGGATTTGGCACCGAGCACCCCCGTGACCCCCCCGAGCATCCACCCCTGGAGAGCTGCCCGGGATGGGGCACAACATCAGCTCCAGGCACTGGGAGGGCAGTGGGGAGATGTCCCCGTGCTGGATGGTCACCACAAACTGGTGCCATGCTGAGCACAGGGCAGGGTCTGGTGCTGCCAAGGAGACGTGCAGCAGAAACACTTCCCTTCCATCCCAAACCCCTGGGATGGGGCCCAGCTCCTCTGGGAGAACAAACATGGAGCAGCTCCCAAACCCAGGGATGGCCAGCAAGGGTCCACAGCCCCCCAGGACTCCCAGTTTGGGGCTGCATTTACCACCAGCTTGAGGTGTTGCAAGGTGGTTGCAGGTGCAAGGAGCCCACCTGAGTTTGCCACGAGCAGCCCCCACCCAGAGAAGAAGCACCAGGACAGGGTCCTCCAGACAGCAGGCAGGGACCCCAGCAAGACCCCAGCCACCACTTGCCCACCAGCACCACAACGGGAGGGACCTGGACAGCCCTTGCCCAAGGTGGTGGCCCCATCCCAGTGCCCAGGAGTGCCAGGCTGAGGCCCCACTGAGCTGCAAAGAGCCCCCCAGGACTCCCCTGGTACCTTGTCACAGAGCCAGCTCGGGGCCAGCCTCCAGGAGCACTGCAGCCCTCACAGCAGAGGTATCTCCTGGGGGATCCTCCCCTTGTCTGTCTGTCCATACACCCCTCTGTCCATCCCCCTGCCAGCCCTGGGCCAGCAGCACCCACGAGCACAAGGAAAGGGCTGGGCAGAGTTCCCTGCTCCCTGCCTCAGTTTCCCCCCTCCTCCCAGTGCCAGAGCTGCTGGCAAGCATCGACCAAGCCCCGTTTCCATGGAGAAGCCCAAAGGCCCCAGGGATGGGAGTCGCAGCAGGAGAAAGAGGGGGGAGGTTATTAGAAAATTAAAGTGTTTAATAAAAGAGCAGCTCCTGCTCCCTTCACAGCTTGGGGGGGCGGGGAGAACCGACTGCCAGGCAGCAGGAGACAACACGGTGAGGGGGCTGGAGGGGAGGGGGCTGGGGGGCTCCAGCTGGCAGCACCCCCTCCCCAGCCAGCCTCCATCCAGTGTTTCAAGTTCACACAACCAAGGGGGAAGCCCGGGGGGGCTCAGAGGGTCTGGTGGGAGGCAGGTCAGGACCCTGCCAGGTAGATGCCTGCAGAGGAAAAGCAGTGAGGAGGGGCTGTGAGGATGAGGAGGGGCTGCCAGGGTAGGGGGCACCTGCCTCCTGCAAGGATGGTCAATGCTGAAGGGCCAGGACGGGGTGCCAGCCCCAGATTGGGCTAACCACATCCTCCCTGGGCTGGGCATCACCTTGGGGGGAAACCCCTGGGCACCCCAAAGCCATGGAGAGCAGGGAAGGGATCCCCAGCATCCCAAAGAAGGGATCCTGGAGCACCCCATGGCCATAGGGAGCAGGGGGAGGACCCCGGGCACCCCAGGGAGCAAAGAAGAGACCACGTCCACCTTCATAAAGGCACCCCAGGGAAGGGACCCCAGGCATCCTGGAGAGCAGGGAAGGGTCCCCTGTGCACCCCAGGGAAGGGACCCCAGCCACTCCAGAGCCACAGGGGATGGGGAGAGGGCCCCCACACCCCCAGCCCTACCTGTAGCAAACCTCTTCTTGACCAGCGACATGCGGTACCCGGCGCTCGCCAGCTCCACCTCCACACCCGACAGTGTGCTGCCCTCACTGCTGAACTGGGCTGCCACTGGGCTGGGCTTGCTGGGCCCACAGAGGGGCTCCCAGCTGGCCGAGAGCCGGCCACAGCCTGGGGGAGGACAGCAGAGAGGGTGGGGGGTCTGTGGGAACCCTGCTCCCCTGCCCTCCGAGGGGGTGCAGCCTCACCTCCCTGCCCTGGGGCACCGGGGACATCCAGCAGCTTCCAGAGCAGCCTCTTCTCCTCCAGGTTCCTGCCAGGACACAAACATGTCCCCAAGCCCCCAGACCCCTAAAATCCCCCTGCTCCCCTCTCCCTGCCTTCCCAACCCAACAGTTGGACTTGATCATCATAGAATCACAGAACCATTCTGTTTGGGAAAGACCTTTAAGATTGAGTCCAACCATAACCCAACCCTACCAAGTCCAAAGCTCAAACCACGTCCCTCAGCACCACATCTGTAAGATCTTCAAGGTCTTTCCCAACCAGAACCATTCTATGATTCCATGACCTTGTTTCCCAGCTCTAGGTCCCCCTTCTCCCACTCTGGGAGGGCTTGGGAGGGGTGGGTCTCCCCCCTACCCTTACCAGCTGGCTGTGGGCTGGAGCCGCAGGTTGGTGATGGGCTCGTCCATGGGCAGGAGGACGTGGACGTTGGCGAGGGGCACGGGCAGGGCCAGGGCACCCGCGTTGTACCCGTACTGGACACTGACCGGGCCCAGCCGGGAGAACTGGGGAGGGACTGGGGGTCAGGGAGGGCACAGGGGGGGGCACTGAGACCCTCCCAACCTCCCCCCCCCGCAACTCCAGGAGGGGAATTCTGGTTCTCACTTGGTACTTGAGCAGAGCTACGTTGTAGTAGGAGGCGGCCGGGCTCTGCTCCGCCTGTTTCTGCAGGTGCCCGGTCAGCGCTGCCATGTTCAGCCAGAAGTCCCTGGTGCTGGGGTCACTCTGGGATGGGTCACTGTGGAGATGGGGTCAGAGTGGGGACAGGGCACCCCAGGAAAGCTGGCACCCACCTCCCTGTCACTGCACCCACTGGCCCTCCCCAGGATGCTCAGGATCCCCAGGAACGCAAATAACCAGCTCCCCAACACTGCACCCATCAGCTCCTGAGGATGCTGAAGCCCCCTGGGAACCCCCACACCCAGTTCCCCATGTCTGCATCTACCAGCTCTCAGGATGCCCAGACAGCCCCAGGAAACTCAGTATACCCTGTACCCTGATATACAGCTCCCCATCTCTGCATCCATCAGGTCCCAGGGTGCCTGTGCCCCCCTGTACCCTGACACACAGCTCCCCACGACCACAACCCCTCCAGGCAACCCCTGTACCCCAACACCACCTCCACATCACCCATCCACCACCCCC